TGATATTCATTATTTGTTAAAGCAACCTACAGTGAATTTCACTGTTGAGAATAATATGTTATACAGTTATGCTTACTATTTTATTATGTCATTTTAGGATTTTGATTTTGTACAGTACGTTTGATGAGACAACACTGTAGTCTTAAATAGGAAGGGGGGATGTAATGGAGTACTGTATATGTAGACATATTATGTGTATTTAATTGTTAATACTTGGTGATTGTAGAATTTATTCTACATTGTTTGTTACATTTGATTATATCGGGTGGAGCAACATTAAGGAAGTGATATGTTTATTTTATATATACACATGGTTATTTAGGAGACAATGCAAGCTGGCAGATGCTGGGCATTGTATATGTCACTGTATAGAGATCATTGATATTTTATGATTGGTTAATGAGTGATCATGTGATTATAGGCTTGTATGTGATTGGTTTACATACCAATGATGGCTTGGTATAATTATAGTGGGAAACTTGAATTTAGTTAAGTTTGGTCCAACACTTCAAGACTGAAGTTCTCTCTTCCGGCAAGGGCGCCGTGAATGCCTCTGTTAAGTTGATTGCTGAGTTGACATTAAAGTTAAGATTTGAAATTACAGTATATCTGTGTTGGCTGAATTGTTTGAAGTACATTGGTTTGCTGGAGTTGATGACCAAGAAGTGTGCTAATTGTGTTTAAATCAAGTACAGTACAACCAAAAGACGTGAAGTACAGAAGTCAGCTACAGTATAGTAAAACAAATACTATACATCGTCACAACTAATATACAACGTTACACAGCTGTAGAGTGACATCTTATCTTTCAAATATAAATGTGAAACTAGCGGGTATGATTTAATGGGGGAGTTGAAAAGGGGGAGTGGTAAGACCCAAGCTTTTACCAACTGTGAAACTGAGTGGAGGGCTCGGTAACGTATCTGTTACAACATTATTCTTTCATTTGCAATACATTGTGACGGCAATACAGCTGTCTATGGTGGCACTTCGGAAAGTTTGAGTTCCAAACCAGTATGATAAAAAGTATATTCAACGATTTACGTTGATACAGTGTTGAGGAGCGCCCTCAATTTCTTTAGCCATGATGGCAAATTTTTGAGCGTACACGAATTGCAAATAATATGGATATACAGCAGAGCTCATCAAGTTGTTGATTATCATAATCAAAAAGTTTGTTCAGTTTAAAAGTAGCAGAAATTAATTTTGAAGAAGTAATCTGAATGCAATACAAATGAATTAAAATAAATATTACAAAAATATTTGCGGATATTGCTTTAGATATTCACATAAGGTTTTTTAGTTGTTTTTTGTTTTGTTTGTTTGTTTTTTTTTATAAAATCTTAACAAATTTCTTTTCTATTTCCCTCTCTCTTTCTTCAGAAAAATGAGGAAAACGTGTGCGGAAATACAAAAGGTGTACAAAGAGAGAAAGAAATTAAATGACCCTTCATCTCTGGAAAATTAATGTAAACAACAAGCTGATTATCGTGTACCTGTTTATTGATGATTTGACAGATACGTTACCATACATGTTCCTAACTTTGGATCATAATATGTATATTCCAGTAGAATTATTTCTGATTCTTATCTTTTCATCGGGATGATAATGCCCGAGTGCGTGGTTGTATGAAAAATAAATAAAAAATGACAACCTTCTGGGTTATATATAGCAACTGCTGTTAATTCGACTCTTCCAATCCAGAGACAAAAACTGTTGACAGTGGTCATCATGAATAGAAAATGTGGGTTTTTTCTTGTTTGACCATTAATGTCATTAAAAAAATGTCCTTACAGTGACTGCACATCACTAAATGCAGTTCTTAACTGCAAACTTACATTCATATCCAATGACTATATCTGAAACCAACCATTTTAAAGAGATAAACTTGTGGTAACGTATCTGTTAGTTTAT